TATGTGGCTTTCAGCTTTTAAATATGGATATCATCCAACACAAATATGATGATCTGTTGGTTGGTTGCACATGAATTTCTGGGTTTTGTAGTAAGTACAAGAAAATAAGATACACATCTGAAATACTTACAATTTTCTTGTACTTTTATAATGACAATTTACAAAAGACATGACAAAAATACAGAAATTTATGAAAATGTCCAAAATAATCCAGCAGCCAGAAGAACATTGTCAAGGCACATTTTAAAAAATGTAATTAAACACATTTGAACCAGGTGAAAATCCATTTTGGGATCATTCAATCATTAACCCCCCAAACAAGATTGGAAAGTTACATCTGATTTCAGAGGAACTACATAAATACAAGTAATTCCTAGGGCTGTAGTAAATGTGGGTGATTATCACCTTAACATTCAGTTATAGGAAGAAAGAGAAAACAAATTTTGGCACTTTCAGAAACTCTTGTTCAAAGGTGAGCGGTAGAGTTCTTGCAGTGTATGACTGCAAGATATAGGGGTTTCATCTTACTCATAAAAACTGAGTAGGAAAAATCTGTATAAACTTCAGAAGACCACATAGTAGTGAAGTTTTGTGAAGTCATTAAAGAAGAGCTTATGCAAACCTGATTTCCTCAGGATCTGAGGATGATATCTTGCACAGTGTTTTTCCACCTAAGTCAGAAATATTTTTTCTCTTATGGGATGAAAAAGCTTTTGACACCAACCCAATATGACTAATTAACCTATTTATATTTGGAAAACATTATACATGTGTGTGCGTTCAATATCCTTCATGTTTTAGGTTTGTACTAAAAATTTCATTAAACTGACAGAAAATCATGTCACTATGTTACAGGTACATCTAGTTCTATTACTAATTACCAGATGACACATCCAGAATGTAAGATTATGTACTGCTGATACATATAGCATCTGGATTAATTAAAAACAAAGATGTAGGAGAAAATTGGGATTTAAAATTGTATCATTTATCCTTCAATATACTCTTTGGATAATCTATATTTTTAGGTGGACATGTCAATGTAGATGGAAAGTATCAGTTAACACAAATACTGTGTAATTTAAAGTGTGAGACGAACGTTTGGCTGGTTGTTCTATAATCAACACAGAAAATAACTTTGTTACCTTAACCATCTTCCTTTATATATAAAAAATTCTGGTACCCTCAAATAACATACATGGTATAATTACAATTCAGAACTGATAATGCATCTTTTTTTAAAAAGGGTTTTATTTCAGAAAAACCAAATATAACTCTCAGAACCTGAGTTTTATGATTAATACACAGAACTCTGTATCTCTCCTTGAGGCAGACGTCTCATTCTATCTCACAATGGCAAGTGCTACTTATTTTCATATAACAAAATGTAGCTACTTTCATGTAAGTTTCCCAGTATCTTTCAAAACCTCAAATTCAAGTCTTCATTCAAATTCCTCCTAAGAACTATAATGTGAAAACTTAAAACATTGTATTTTATGGTTAGATTGCAAATTACATGGTAATATATTTCATATTTTAGGAATTTATTTTAGGTATAAATTACATAGTATTATTTCAAATTAAAAAATTTAGAAGATTATTCCAAGCATTAGGGCAAATCATATTGCTTTATATTATTTGATTAATACTTAAATTCATAGAATTTGAACTTATTGTACTGAAATTAGGTAACTGAAAGACTGTGTAAACTGGAACACATGTAAACAATGAAATTTGAAGGACATAAAAGCAAATAATAATTTCAGGCAATATTCCTCCAGTTTGAATTACATGTGCAAGGATCACTCTATAGTCTATTCAAAATGTTTAATAAACTAACAACAAAGGCCAAATTATCATATTTACATGTAAAACCCCTTTTATGTTCCTGTTATTTCACATTGGCCAGAAGCCAGTGGGAGTTTTACTTCATTCCACTTATCACCAATAAGTGTTTTAAATGGGATGGCGATAACTGAGCAAGAAAAAGAAGTTCAAAACCATGTTGGGCAAATGTAAAAGAACAGACAGAACTTTCTAGGCTTTTAACATCAAGTCTTTCATACAAAACAACTAGTGTGTATTTAATGTTCTTTAACTGATATATCAACATAATTATATTTTTAAAAAACATATATCTCATTTTTAATTAAAGGATATTACTTTTTCAGGCACTGTTTAAATTAGTAGGATATTCACATGGGCAGATTAGCAGAATATTAGCTAGCTATTTACTGTGACTGCTAATTGTATTACTAAGTTCCTGAAATGTTCCTCCTCAAAAATTTATTTACATTTATTAAGAGGTACTTTTACAATTTGACCCAAACAGAAATCATGTGGCCTTCCAGATGCTGACAGAATACAACTTCCACAATAATATATTGGAATTTGGGGATAAGTTTCTGGAATTTGGGGATAAGTTTCTCTAAGATGAGAATTTTCTTTTCTTCCCATCACTGGTAGATTACAGATTTTAACAGTTAAACATGCATAAAGGGCAACAGCTCTTATATTTATAAATTGAATAGCAAAACTATAATAATTCTGTACGAAAAACTCAACTTATATTTGTATAATTACTGGAAGTAGACACTGCAGTAAGATAATAAAATACCTAACTAATGGCCCTGAAATCTTCCCTCAGCACATATAAAATACCCACCCCCATACTGGCCCGTGCAACATTTAATAAAATTCTAAGCATTGATAAATAAAGCTGTACTGTACTGCTGTACAGTAAATTCCAAGAACTTTTAGACTTGCAAGAAGTACTACAAATGTAAGTATTTTGGATTGAAAGTCTACCTTGTGCGCAAACGTTTCCATAACATTTTTTGAATGAAATAAAAAATACGTAGGGTTAACAAGTGAGGAAAGAGGCTTAATGAATGTCAGGTGTAAGGGAATCTGGACTGCTTTAAAAATACTGTAAACGTAATTCTTACTTGCAAATAACATTTGTAAACATCTTACAAAAGAAACAGATCCTGCAAATAAAATTAAGTAAGAAGAGCATGCAGGCCAATAATAAATATTAAATACCATCTACTCAGATAAAATTAAGATGATCGATAGTAAGAAAATCTAATACATTTTCACTTTGTATTGAGTGTGCTAATTATTCTTGAAAAAAATCATGAATTCCATGTGACAAATGCAAAAAAGTTTGAAACTCAAAATGATACCCATTATATAACGTGAAACAAACATGTTCATTATTCTCTACTTATGAAACAGATACCAAATAGCTATTCCTGTAGTAGTAAACCGTCTTTATTAGATAACTGAAAAAACCTTGGAACCAAGAATGTCAATTGCTATACAATAAAAAAGGAATGTAATGATTCTCTAATGAGAAACTTCAAATAATTTTTGACCATTATTAGCATGTTCAAATAAATGTTCACACTTTTTTTTAAAAAAGGCAATAAACTGATGCAACTAAAATTTTAAAGGAATGATAATGACTTTTAAATGACCAGAGTCCTGGTGATGCAGTGGTTGCAATGCAGTATTGCAGGCAAACTCTGCCCACAGCCTGGAGTTCGATCCTGATGGGGGTCAAGATTGACTCAGCCATCCATCCTTCCAATGACCCAGATTGTTGGGAGCAATATGCTGATATTGTAAACTGCTCAGAGAGTGCTGTAAAAGCACTATGGAACAGTATATAAATTTAACTGCTATTGCTATTAAAAGAAAGTGATACCCAAAAAAGTAGCTCACTATCATCTAATTTACTGGAACTAAAATATAAGACAGCATCAACCTTTGGAAACCAAATATTAAGCTACTCTAAATGTCACATTGCTGACTATATCCTATGCTACTTTAAAAAAAACCAAAACTATGAATAATATTAAAGACAACTATGTATTTTCTTGCTGTGGAAAAAAAACATGCAAGGTTTATCAAGAGCAGGGGGGGGAACCAAAAAACAAGTTGTCAAAAAAGAAAGAAAGAAAGAAAGAAAGAAAGAAAGAAAGAAAGAAAGAAAGAAAGAAAGAAAGAAAGAAAGAAAGAAAGAAAGAAAGAAAGAAAGAAAGAAAGAGCAACCCTTATGATTACATACATGAAACTGTATTAATACATTCAGCTAGAATCTTATTACTCTACAGGCTATAAAGAGGTCTATTAAAAATAAGAAATTTATGTTGACTACATCTCTTACTGAATAGAAGAATCAGGAATTCTATTCAAAGTTCTATGAATAATCAATATTACAAATATATAACTGCTTTTCAGAATTTCTAATGTGTAGAAAATACTGCATTAATCAATATTTCTTTTTAGTTTAATCCACATTTAAATTGGGTAGTCAAACAGAACTTGAAAGAAACAGAAACATAAGTTCTAAAAATTTTCAACTTCTACAACTTTACTTCTACTAGCTATGATTTTTTTTTAATAGTTAAGGTCTAATGCTCAAATCTATGAATGAACACAGTGATTTCAAAAGGTTCAAGTGCAAACCAATGTGTTCAAATTGTTAAGAAGTGCTAGGTCAGTCTTCAAGCATAGCAGCCACTGACTCTAATAGCTGTTGCTTCTTGAATCTTTTAGTTTCAACTTTGGCTTCCTAAACAAAAACTTTATAAAAACAATTTTACAAATCTGTGGTTAAGAAGTAAGACTATTTTAATACTGGCTTCTTAAATCCTAAAGAAAAACCCATGTTGCTCTCCTTTTCTGCAAATATGCATAGACAGGGCATATAATAATAGGACCAACTGGATGCTATAGATCTGAATTAGCTATTTGGCAATTAACTGATAAGACAACAAAAACCACATATCACATCCAAAAAGAAATGCATGCAATTAGCAAAGGAGGGAAAGGGAAGGAATAGTTGGAGATACCACTCTCATACTTACCTGACCATATCTTCCAATTAACAATGTGTTCAGTACAGCATACTGCTACACAATTCAAGAATATATATTTATTACATTATTTCAAGATTAATAAATTCATAATCCAGGAACAAATCTGCCCACCTCTTAACGATGACGATATTCTCGTTCTCTATCACGCTCTCTATCACGGTCTCTATCACGGTCACGATGCCTCTCACGTTCACGGCTTCTTTCCCGGTAATAATCATCATGGCGATCTCTGCTACGAGATTTATGGCGTCGGCTTTTCTCCCTTGATCTACTATGGTCTCTCTCCCTTGACCGTTCACGTCTTCTAAAAAAAATTACTTCCTTAATTCTCTAAAATCAATTTACATATTTTGTAATAATCTAAAATTTCTTAGTCTTGAATAAGAAACTAGTCTGAGTACAACAACTTATGATGAATGTGTTTTGGTAGTCCAATTTTACTAAGTAATAGAAGGAATTATTCTGTTACTAAGGTGATGAAAAGGCAAAATAGATTTTTGTAGAATTAATTACAAATATGCAAAATGTTCTAGGCACAAAAGCTTGATGCATTAAAGAGCTAGTTTTGGACTAACCATGCCTGAACCAAAACATGCTTCTTTGAATGTTTTGGTCCATCCACAAATGAAGCAGGGTTATTTTGCTCCATGCATAGGAATTTTTGCAGGCCAGTGGATCATTGGCAACAGCTGAAAGACAGGAGGATAGGGGAAAGGGTAGGATGACAGGAGATGGGCCAGTGGTACATGAAGTGTCGGATGCTGAGAAGCGAGAGAAGGGCAGTGTACACTGGCCTTGTCTTATCTGCTCAACCATATTTTATCTCACCCCAAAATCTGCAAAGTATTACATATTTTTTTAATTCTACTGAAGTATGGCTGAAATAAAACAGTTTAGTAGACCTCAAGAACACGTTTGGTCCAAATGTGGAAACAGTATTTTTCCTATCTCATGTATACTCTTGGCATTGATGTTGAAAATACAGCGTATTTCTTTTTAATGTATTCATTTCAGAGCTAGCTACCATTTCAAAAATGTTTTCCTGCTTCCAAGTCTAAAATCTCATCATTTTAGTTCCATTTGTTTGTAGAATAATTTTATGTATATGTTTGTAGAATAACACATGTACATGTTTCTATGTGTGTAAAAAGTGGTTTAAATAGGATTGCTATACCACTGAATAGAAATTTGAAAATTTGAATAGAAAATGAAATTTCAAATTTTATATGTATTTTCCTAACCAAAAAATTGAATGTGTAAAGATAAAAAGGGACCCAAGAATCATACATTTATTACATAACTCTTCTTGTTCTATGAAATTTCAGTCAAGATTTTTAAACAGAAGGTTTACCTTGATCCAGAACCGTAAGACTTTGATTCAATTCCATGAAGACAATCTTGCAGAGAGCTAATAAGTACTTTGCAGCGATCATCTGCAGATACTTTGGACTGTTTAATTAATGAAATTGCAGTCACCAAGGTTTCTATAGCACTTCCATATTCCGCTGGAAAATAAGAATTCGGTAAATAGATATGTTTGCTTATTGTAAAAATCTCTATAGTTCAAATATTTTCTATTCCTCCTCAAAAATGTACTAAAACTAAAATCATACAAATATACGGTAAAGCTAATAAACCTATTCTTGGCTTATACTAGAACTTAAAATGAATGAGTAGGACTGAATCATAAGATTTAAGACCACCATTTAAAAAAATATAATTAAATACTAGAGGAAAAGATTCCACTCTAGTATTCCTACCAACACAAATAGTCTCTGTATAAAATCATTTTTAGAAAAGCATGCTATCATAGTTGCTCTATGAATCCACTCCTCCTCCCACTTCCAGAATGGAGCAACTCGCCTTGGCCAACTTCCCACAGCCAATTCTCTGCAGGACAAGTCACCAGGGCTAACTCGCCATGGGCCAATTCAACAATTCAATTTAATTAAAAAAATATTTTAAATTTTGTCATTCACATTCATTTTGTCCCTCCTTTTGCATCCTTTCTTTAATGATTCTATTCCACCATTTTTTCCATAGTAGTGTAAGTCTTGTCCCACTGAAAGCTGTCCCGCAGCTAGTTGGCTGTGGTAAGTTGGCCGTGTGATTTGACCCAGCAAGTTGTCCTATATCCCCCTACTATCTGATATATAATACACAGATTTATTTATTCATCATTTGTACAAACAATAATTTAATAATGTTGTAAGTAACATTATTAGACATCTGTACCATAGTACTGTTCCAAATAATTCAGTAGATTGGGGAGCTGATAATACCTGCAATTTTTGAATTATAGTTTGGTTTACAGATATAAACTATACATGAACAATAAAACTATAGTATACCTATCCCTTCTTGAAACCTGTGTAAAATTTTCCCACATGTATATTGCTAGAAGTATACAACTTTGTTGCTGTTTTATTTTTTTCCTTTTAATTATTGCTTTCTTTTATTCTGTTTTATTAAATAAAAAAAGCAAAATGTTTAAAAATCCAAAAAGTATTTTGTATTTAAAAGTTAAAAGAATTTATGATGCCAAGGACTAATAAAGCTTTAAAATCAGGCAAAAATAATGAAAAATACTGTATGCTAAATGCTTTCTGAAAGGATAGCATTAGGCAGAGCTGAAACACTAATAGAGGGGCAAAAGGTCAAGTGTATGGTATAGACCAGGGGCCTGCAACCTTAAACACTCAGAGCCATTTGGTCGTTTCCCACTGAAAACACTGGGAGCCACAAAACCTGGGTGGGCGTGGCCAACTCGTCACTCACTACCAGTCACATGCCCCCCCGCCACGCCTACCCAGGTTTTGTGGCTCCCAGTATTTTTTCTCTGGGAAACAGGTATCTCTCTCTCTCTCTCTCTCTCTCTCTGTGTGTGTGTGTGTGTGTGTGTGTGTGTATAAATGCCTCACTTTCTCTCATCTCTTTCTCACCTTTCTTTCTCTCTCTCTCATCTTTCTCTCATCTCTCTCCCTTTCATCTTTCGCATCTCCCTCTCTCATCTCTCCCTCTCCCTATTCTCATCTCTCTCATCTGTTTTTCTTTCATTTCTTTTTCTCTCTCTCTCATCTTTCTATCTCATCTCATCTCTCACTCTCGTTTGTGTGTGTGTATGTGTGTTCCCTCTTTGACCATTTCCAAAAACAGGTGAAAGTTGTTTTTTTTGTTTCTGCTGATGTTGTTCTTTCTTCTTCTTTGGGTGCTTTTTACCATATGAAATCAGGAGTCATTTCAGGTTCCCAGATAAATGAAGCTCTTTCATCCCCCTGCTTTGGCTTCCTGTAGGCTGAACCTACCAATGGCTGGCCCCATCCCTCCCCTCCCCTGAAAAAGTAAGGGTAATAATGGTGGTAGATGGAGACTCGCTCCATATTCCAGAGCAGGAGTGAAGCCTCTTCTTCCAGCCCTTGTTGATGCTGCATGCACCTCAGCCACTTGGGGAGATGCACAACTTTCTCTCCACCCCGAGACACTGGCCCGGCCCGGCTGTAGCCGATGCTCTGCGTCATAATGGGCTCCAGGAGGAGGAGGGGACGCTGTTTCCCCCGTTGTGAAGTGCGCTAAATTTAAGTGTGCTGTGCAAGGCGCTGCAAGAGCAGCGAGCAGGCCATGGAGGTGGTAAGAGCAGTGGCATCAACCACAGTCGGACCTAACCAATGTCTTGGGGGGGAAAGAAAGTCATGCGTCTCCCCAAGTGGCCGAGGTGCATGCACTACCAACAACGGCCCGAAGAGGCAAGTAGAGGGGCACTTCAATCCCACTCTGGAACATGGAACGAGTCTCCATCCGCCGTCGCCCTTACTTTCTCAGGGCAAGTGAGGAGTGACTGGGAGGGGAGGGCAAGGAGCAGGGCCAGCCAGTGATGGGACAGGGAGCTGCAGTAGAGGGCCTAAAGAGCCGCATGCAGCTCTGGAGCCATGGGTTGCCGACATCCGGTGTAGACGTATACTTTTTTTGTGCTTCAGAAAAAAAGCCCCACTTCCTTGCCCTTGGAAGTTATATATAAGAAAATAAAGCCACAAAAATTACCTCTCCAGAAGAAATGTCCCAATTCACATAGGAGGAACTAGTCCTTTAGATAAGCATAGCAATAAGCAATAAATATCCTTATAATACATTGATCAGAAAGCTTTACTTCCTATATTATTTCCAGTTCATTTCTTGCTTACATGTAAATACAAATTATAGAAAAGTCATAAATTAAATATACTGACCAGCACTTGCGTCTGATACAGCTCTTGAAATGGCACTGCTAGAGATAGCCCTATTTCTATTCATAATTTCTTCAAATTCTGCTTCACTTAATGGTGTCCTTGCAGCATCTATTTCTCTGCAAACAGACACAATTTCGTTTTTATTTACTCCCAGCAGCACAATTATTACATTAATTTTAGTATGGAATTATAAGCAAAACACATAAAGGAAAGCTTTTTCTTTGCAATACAAAACCTGCAAGCTAGAGAGAAAAAAGTATACTATCATAAAAGCAACAAATCTGATATATTTATGCAGTGTTTTCCATCTTCAGAAAACTTCAGATGCTTACAAAACTTGTCAATCAATGTATGATAATTCAGGTACAAAACCAAAGTTGCCCCAATCAACAAGTATGGCCTCAATACATATGCTTATTTTTTATAAGAAACAATGAGTAAATTGTGCCAAGAATTAAAAATATTCTATGTTCTGTAATGATATAGTACACATAAGCAAGGTAATGTGATGGCTATACACTTGGCTAATTACTTAATTGCCTAAAATTGGAGATAGAAAATGTTAACTTATTCTGCTAGTGCCCTTTTGAACTTTGTGACATCTGTCAATCTCTGTCTTAAACAAGATCTGAAGACTGACAACATGAACAGAGTGCCCTTTTTTCCTTCTAGAGACACTCTGCTATGCCCAAGATGTAATTAATTAACCTGTTTTCTCCTCCCCTCAGCTTGTAACAAATACAAATCAAAATCATGTAATTTCACTGAGACACTTAGAAAGGAGATCATGCCTTGTGTGATGTTAGACTATATGTTCTTCATATTCCTTCCAAGCATTGTAAATTATATGGCTTAAATTGCTTTTGAGAAATGTTTCTTGCAAATGTTAGTTCTTCTGGTAGAAAGAAAATGCAGAATAAGCAATTCTATCCTCTTAAGAGCAAGAAGTGGATCAAGATCCTACAGCTGATTTAGCATAAGAGGAAATGTCTAAAAATTCATACCTCCCTGCGTTTTGAGTATTATTTTTCGTTTGTCTCCAATACAATGGCATATGTAATTGTTCTCTTATGGACATGTTATTTCCAGTGAAACGCCTATGATATATAATTGACAATTTAAATATAATTATGGATTGTAGTTGAGATCATCATGAAAATATTGGTCATTATGTGCAGAGGTTCTACTTCTCCTTTCACCACCCTCAGCCCTCCTTTGCTTATTAAATTCTCTATATAAAAATATAAATTTATTGAGTTCTTTGCATATTCTTTCAAGCAATTATGCATAATGCTTTAACTTTATAAAAATAAGCTTTCTTACATTTTATATTTTAAATTTTTAGATGTTAATTCCACAAATAAATTAATACTACTGGACTCAATGTTTCAGAAAAAAACCTATGATACTTATTTAACAAATCTTCACGCCCACAAAGCCTCACAACATGCAAAAAAAAATTATGTATCACAATCTACAAAATTTTGAGAGGTGCTTTAACATTAACATAATATAAATACCATCAAAGAATAAATATAAAGAAATACCATAAGCCTACAGCATGTTTTAAAATGAAGCTAGAGAATAAATAAGTGGATGTTAAAAACTGAAATATGGAGTGATGAAGCAGTCATGTGAAGTCACTATAGATATTCATAAGCTGAATATTGAAAAGGTACTGCTCAAATACACTGCAATATGCCTGTTGTCATCCTTTATTTTGTAATTGGTGTTTCCTCATAGATTCTGCCATCTGAAAAGATTCTCAGACTCTATTACAATGCCTGGTTGTTCTAGACAATAGATATTGCAAATGAAGATTTCTATATACAGGTAAAGCAGACTGAAAAGAAAAACATGCCAAAGTAAGACAATCCACAAAGGTTTTATTAGAGGACTCTCTCAAATTCTGACTACTTAGTAGAGCTTTGTTGTATTTTGAATCTGAAAGGAAAAAGTGCTTTTGTATACCTAAGTGTACTCTTATAGTATTTGCAATAACTCCATAAACACAGATATTGTTTTTCCCTCAGGACTGCATGTTTGCCCTCTGCAACTGCAGAGCTATCTGTATCCACACAGGGTCCAAAACAACTTTATTCCTTCAAACCAGCCAAACTCTATCGCTTAAACCTTAAGAAAGTAGATACTTGAACTTATTATAGGTTATCATGACACTGAGAGAACTCTGTCTGTCAGAATATGAATTCTAACATTCCAGAGCAGATGGGTATCTATGTATAAGAGGCAGAAGAAAGCAAAAGCCATGTCTATTATCCAAATAGAAGCATCTCCTTTCATAAGGGTTAGCTGTTTTTGTGAGTAAAGGACTCATTAAAGGAAGGATATTTAAAGTTAAAAGCAAATCTATAGAAGGCAAGAGATGTAGTATGATATCTCATTAAAATAATATTCATAATACATTATTTAAAGGGCTTACATATAATACATAAAGGACAAAAACAAACAAATATGTAAATGAATGGAAGATAAAAAATCTAAGTAGCATTTTTAATCAACTGTTTCGTACACTGTTTTGGTAGGCAGGTATCACAACACTCCTGGGAAGCAAATAGTAACAAAGAGGAACAGTGACTATTCAGCTAAAATATGGGTGAGCTCTATATACACTTTTTTGCAATTATGAGCCTCAAATTTCTTTTAGCAGGTTCTCCCTGGTGAAATGTATTTTCTTTTTGTATCACTTTCTAATGCAAAATGACAGATATTCCCCACTGCAGAGAATTCTAGAACTCTTTTCAGCAGAACATTAGAATCCCAAAGTCATAAAATACTCAGAGGGAGGTTAAAATTAGGAAAATACTGTTTTAATGACATCAGATATTGAATATCCCTTGTCCCAAATGAGAGAATACTATCCAAATGGGCTCCAGAATTCCCTTGTCAATAAATGTTATAAATGCGAAAGGCATACTCACCTGCCTGGTGGCCCATAATCACCTCTGTCATATGGTGGAGGTCGGCCATATGGGTCTGAAGGGGGTGGACCACGACTGTCTGATGTAGGTATGCCACTGTTGGCTGGTGGGGGGAAGAAAGCTGGATTCACGTGTGGGGCAGGAGGGGGAGCACCTGGTGGTGGCCCAGGTAAGTGAGGAGGAGGAGCCAGTGTAAGGGGTGGTCCTAAAGGACCAGGTGGACGAGGAGGGAAAGGACCTGGAGGTGGAGGAGGACCTTGCTGTGGGGGTGGAGGACCTGGTGGAGGACCATAGCCTGGAACTGGGGGTGGAGGACCAGGCGGAAGTGGACCCAATGGAGGTTGGCCAAACGGTTGTCCTGGAAACAGAACTGGAGGAGGGGGACGGTCACCACGATTAGGAGGACCAGTTAGTGGAGGAGGCAGAACCTGGCCAGGTGGAGGAGGACCTGGTGGGCCTGGTGGACCCGGAGGACCTAGAGGTGGACGTGGAGGAGTCTGTCCAGCTAAAGAGGGAGGGAAAAATGTCTATTATTAATATTCTACTGCCCATGTTTTCTCCAAACACATAAAAAATTTGCAATAAAATCCAAATAGATGTCAGATTCTAATTCTCCCCTTTCTAGGCAAAGGAAGGATAAAGACTGAAATAAAAATAACAGTAATCATATTAGGTAAAGGTTCCCCTCGCACATATGTGCTAGTCATTTCCGGCTCTAGGGGGTGGTACTCATCTCCGTTACAAAGCTGAAGAGCCAGCGCTGTCTGAAGACGTCTCTGTGGTCATGTGGCTGGCATGACTAAATGCCGAAGACACACGGAATGCTGTTACCTTCCCACTGAGGTGGTCCCTATGTTTCTACTTGCATTTTTACATGCTTTCGAACTGCTAGGTTGGAGAAGCTGGGACAAGTAACAGGAGCTCACTCCGTTATGCGGTGCTAGGGATTCGAACTGCTGAACGGATGGCCTTTCTGATCGACAAGCTCATTAATGTCATCTATTTGCAATTTGTTTCCTTCAAAAGAATTATTCAAAGCAGTTTTCTTCCTCTATCTCTTTTATTTAAAAGGCTCTCAGTTTGAGTATAGACTCAGAAGGGAAGTATCAACAGTAGAACACCAGAAAAAGCATACCATCAAAGTAAATAAAAATGAAAATGACCAAATATGGAAGACACCTTATAAATAAAGCTACCATACCATACTACTGAGTCTTGCTAGGAATTAGGTGAAATATACATTTAATAAATTATACTGTTATTCATTTTATTTTACAGAATTTAGGAAAGCTTTTAACAGCCAACTTTAAAAGGAGTTTCATTCTATTCTAAACTGACTACTATTTCAAAGGAAAAAAGCAGAATGCCTGTATTTTAATAGAAGAGAAACAATTAGTTTACAGTACAGCAACAAAAATTAAAATATTTTACATTTTTGTTCCTATTTATTGCAAAACTGTATTATACTTGTCTTAGTTCGATATATAATACTTCAATATTTGATTCTGCACTATTCCTAAATTTCAGGAACAAAATAAAAAGCCTCAAGGCTCCTACCTCTGCAGGACAACAAAACTGCAAAATATCAAGAAATACTTTACCTGGAAAAGGTGGAGGGGGCCCTCCGGGTCCAGCTGGTCCCGGAAATCTGTCCCCTCCAGGAAGGGCACCTGGAAAACGGCCCCGCCCTCTGTTACTTGGAGGAAAAGTTGCTCGTGAACTGCCTCCTGGTGGACCAGCTTTTCCTTCACCAGACATCTGGCCAGATTGTGTAGCTGCAGTTAATGAAATAAAGTCTCTGAAGTGTGCTATAGAATTAATAAGACTTTTAAACTGGTTTATTCTATGTCAATTATAGTTTTCCTTGGCAATTCTGTTTTACAGGCAACATGTTCTTAAGAGTTTTGTTCTGTATGTTTTTCTTGAAGAAAATTGCACAAAGAAATTTTTACTAAGAAAAAAAGAATTTGCCATTCTCTAGGGTTTGTTTTTTTTTCTATTTACTAAAGTTTAAGATCTTAAAATACTTTTAAGGCTAGAATTCAAGTTAAAGGTAGTCTTCGACTTATAACCACAATTGAGCTTAACATTTCTGTTGCTAAGCGAAACATTTGTTAAGTGAATTTTGCCCCATTTTGTGACCTTTTCTTGCCACAGTTGTTAAGTGAATCCACTGCAGTTCAGTTAATAATATGGTTGTTAAGTGAACCTGGACTTGCCATTTGCTTGTCAGAAGGTTGCAAAAGGTGTTCACATGACCCCAGTCATAAATATGAGTCAACTGCCAGGCATCTGAAGTTTGATTATGCGACCATGGGGATGCTGCAATGGTCATAAAGTGTGAAAAACGGTCGTAAGACACTTTCAGTGCTGTTGTAACTTCGAACAGTCACTAAACGAACTGTTGTAAGTCAAGGATTACCTGTATTATACATACATTTAGACTTAAGTGTGCCCAATGAGATTTCAGGATTTTTTCCCCCAAAATGACCCATGAGATAATCTATAGTGCTTCCGTGAGCGTTGAAAAAGCATTTCCAAAATCCCTGAACAAATTATTAATTTGTTTAATTTAATTTGCTTAATTTTGACATGGTCTTTATTGTTTCTTCAGTAACATCTAAAAGGATTTTTGAAATAAAGATCACAAACCACATCTGATGGAAATCTGATTCACCCTCTTTGCTTGTGATACTTATATTGCTCACTACTGTGATTAAATAGCAGAATATCCAAATTGCTTAATCAACTTCAGGTGCCTGAAATAGTCCCCATACCAACAGGCACACTAGAAACTTGAATTCTTCAAAAGAAAACAACTTTTGGTTTATTTCTATGGAAGTGTAGCTTTGTTCTACAAGACAGGCAGTAAAGCGTACCTTCAGGGAGCAAAATAACTTATCCATACAAGTAAACCATTATTTAATTTAAGGAATTACATAGTAAACATTCTTGAGACTTTCTATTACAATATAAAAGTAAATTAGTAACACAGAAAACAGTTCAAATTCAGTTGTAGAACTCATGAATACATGAACCACCACCTTATTAATGGGACTTGCACAGGCATTCAAGTTAACTGTTACCATTTTCTTATATAGAAGACATGAAATAGTAAAACTCTGCACATTTTATAAAATGGTTCAGAATAAATGTTTTGGACCTTACACAGATGCAGCACTCTTTGCTCTTCATTAAAGCAGTGTCTGTTTTTCAGACTTCCGCCTAAGTCTGAAAAAAGATGTCCTGCTTTAAGTGTCATATTAAAAACACAGTGCTTTAATTAATTCATTAAAACAGTAAAAATCAGGAAATATGTAGCCCTTATAAAATAAAACATGCTGTGCTTGTATTCTATTCAAAAAACTTTATAAAAATAATTTTGAGCCATATAGTTAAAAATCCCTACGAATAGTTTGTTACTAAAACCAAGGAAACATGTTTTTCTTTTACTTCCAAAACATACTATTTCCAGCAGTCTTCAACAGTAGTTTGAACAAGACAGACCTTCAATAAATGAGACTGAAAAATAGCAGATTATATAAAAAGTATTAATCATTCAAATATGTAATATAGTAATTGGTAATTTCTATCCCACCTCCACCCAAAATGTTTTTCTAGTTCATAGGAAGTAGTCCAGAACAATTCTTACTTTTTCTCGATTGCAGTTCAAATTGACTCAGAAATTGCTTATTACAAGGAGTTACAACAGGATTTTGACCATGTAACTCTCTTTTGGGCAACAGGTCCATCAGCTTTTTGGAAGATGCCTCAGATCCCACACCCACAAGAGCAAATCTGGAGGACAGACAATATAATCTTATGATGAGGATTCTTAACATATCCCTAAAAGATGAATAACATGATAAACCAAGCCACATTATGATTTAGCATAATAGCAATAGCACTTAGACTTATATACCGCTTTATAGTGTTTCACAGCCCTCTCTAAGCAGTTTACAGAGTCAGTATATTGTCCCCAACAATCTGGGTCCTCATTTTACCCACTTCAGAAGGATGGAAGGCTAAGTCGATCTTGAGCCTGGTGAGATTCAATCTGCCAAATTGCAGGCAGCTGTGGCTGCAGCAGAAATAGCTTGCAGTACTGCACTCTAACCACTGCATCATTGAGGCTCAGTGTGCAATCATAGGCATATTATATTCAAACACTTAGAATATCCCACCGTAACTCTCAATAATTATAATCATGACTTATTTTTCTATGTGTAACTATTTCTTACACTCCATAAAATATCTACCAAGTTTTCCAGAAATACTTTTTCTAGATTGTCTCAGCTATTATTTCAATCCGATTCTGCTAAAATTATTACAATTTTCTCATTCTGATCTCTGGTGGTCTTCCCACCTATTTCCCCCCCCCCAATCATTCATCAGCATGGTCTTTCAAGATTAAAATATACTGTACACATCTTTAGAAATAGCATCTGTGCTGAATTTAAATACATTCTTACCCTTTAGACTGTCCATTAGCACGGTTTTCAAAAAATTTTATCTCCAAAATATCATTTACACCAAGTGAATGAACTGCTTCAGTTAAATCTTCGTCTGTGGTCCACTGCAAAACAATTGTAAATACATTTTCTAACAGCAAAAGAGCGCAATATTTTTCTCAATACACCACTCACAACAATAATATTCAACATAATGCATAAATTTATGCCCCAACATATTCCCTATTTTAAAAATAAGCAAGCTGCAAGTTCGTTTCACCGTCTATTATTGATTACAAATCCTAAGAAGTATATTACAATCACAGTTATAGTTCAGCAATAGTTCATGTTCCACACGGGAAAAAAAGTTTCATGTTTGCACTTCAAACAAGATTTTAGAAAAACTGTTTACCAACAAATGTTACAGAGTGACTACTAAACTTAAATAATTCTGAATTAAATTGATTACAGACTAAATGACTTATACAGCTGTAACTAATCCAGTACTTACCCAAGTAAGATTCCCAATATATAATGCAATTCTCTTTCCTGTATATGTATAGACTACATTTGGTGCTGATCCTTTGCCCACATCATCTCCAACAGATGGTGGAAGAGAGTCCATATAATCACGATCCTCTGGTGCATCGCCGTTATTGGCAGATGGAGAGATGACGTCGTCATACAGGTCTATCTGATCATGCCCACCATATTCAGCCTCCTAAAAGACAATGTATAAATATTAATGATCAGTTCTTATTTTGCTTTAGACAAGTCTATATCTAAATTCCTTTTTAAAAAGTTACAGTTGCACATGCTCTTTCTTTATACTAATTATCCTAGGATGTTTTTATACTGCAAAAATAAATTATACATTAAAATTAAGATCAATAAGATATTTAAAATATTCTAAAGCAGGACAAAACACATTTCTACTGTTTAAAATATTACCTTAAAAAGTATTAAAAATGTGTAAACCAGATGCAACTAATTGATTTATCTTATCCATTACAAATGGGGTCCCCAAATTTGCATTACTTTATCCTGGGTTCAGCAGTAAATCCCACCCGATATTTCATGGCTTGACTTCTTAGAAGACTTTTAGACATGGTTCAATGAGATTAGAAATGAAGCCATTATGCAGTAATTGATTGCCTACAATCATCAGTACAAAATTGCAAATCACCTTTATATTTCATGGGTTAAATTTGAGGTTTCCCCTCACCCTTCTAAATTAACAGACATTTAGCATAACACCTAATAGCTATGAACCTAAGCAGCTGTCCTATGTTTTAGATAAAGGCCATCTCATGGCCAGGTAACTACTACTTCCTGCATCTGTTCCTTAATTAGCCTCCCAGATAACCAAGTATTTAATTTTAATATACAATACAAGAAAGCCAATGTGGATAGTAGTTAAGATGCTGAAGAATAAAAGCCAGGTTCTAGTCCTTTCCTCTAGGAATGGAAGTCAAAGTTGGGTAATTTGGGGGCACTCATGTTCTCTCAGCCCATATTGGGGAGTCAAAAAGCTACCAGCTCACATTGGGTCAGCATGGGAGATTAGGTCCATGACCTTCAATGAAGAAGCTTTTATCATGCAGTGAAGTGATCTGGACTGATAACACTAAAAAGGCATAGTGGTTATCTACTCAAAAAGAACAAAAACTGATTTCACAAAACTAATTTAGACATCCCACTTCAATCTGTTTAAAATCTAGCATATATGTCAATATAGTTATGAGCAATTTCCTCATAACATTCAGCAAATTGTCACAGCAAATTTCTCAGAGAAGGGGAAATCAATCTTCAAAATCAAAAATATTCAGATTAGATGGCAACTTGCAAAAGCAGCAAATAAACTTTCTTGACAGGCTTATATGATAATGTAACTTGATGTTCTATTTTTAACATAGTAACTTTTGCAGCAATTTTTCATCTACATTTTCTGTCATTGATTTTAAATGTACCAGTTGGCAAATTTACTGAATACATAGAAAGCAAAAAGCTAAGCAGGACAGAAACGTGTTAATACTTCAATGAAAAGCCACTAAAAAAATTCTAGACTAGACTACAAAGTTGAGAAAACTTTCTGGAAGAAGTCAAGAGAAAGCTATTTCTATACTGCTGCCAAGAAAACTATACTGAATCACCAGACATTGTGCTTAACTTAAGAAAGGATTTAAAATTTAATTGTATTAATTTAATTCAAGGATAGTTTTTGTCAAAGTTTTATCCCTTCTGGAGCAGAGTTCCAAGCCTGCTATTCAAAAATAGGGCAGTCCTCAGTCTGGAAAAATTGCATTATCCTTGCTTTAGCGTAATATGTGAAGTCAGCCATCCCTTCCAATTACATTTGGCAAAAACAACCATTCCTTGCAAAAAAAATACAGTACTTAACTTCAAAAAAAGAATGTATCCAAAAGTTATGTATCCTTTAAACATGTATTAATGTTTAGTGAATTTATAGCATTCCTAATAACTCTATTGTCATTATAGGTGTAAACTACCAGGAGACAGAAGGATTTTATAAATTGCAGAGGGTTAACTCATGACCTATGGCTTAGCAACATACAATGGACCCCCAAAAAAGTACTTACTTTCTGACGTTCTGACGTTTTAACTGCTGCCCTCCAGAGTCATGTAACCACATTTCGGACAACTGGTCCTCACAGCCACTTGCAGAGTCCTGCAGTTACATGACTGTGACTTATTTTTGCCCCAAACTGGCATTTATTTCCAGTTTTCAGCAAAAATGCTCCAGAGAGTACTATGGGTTCACTTAATGACCATAGATTTGTTTAATGACCACCACAAAACAGTTGTAACATGTGGGTGACTATAACGTCTTTATTAATGTAATGGTCAGACTCTATTACAGTCATAAGTTGAGGACTAACTGTATGAGAAATGTCCAAGAAGGAAAAAGACTTTAAAACACATTCTCAAAAGTAACTTTACAAATGGAAATGCAAAATCACATACAAAAAATATTTTTGTATTACTCTCTTGGGTTTTAGTCAGCACTATGAAACATGAATGATAGTTGCAAGAAATGTGCCTATTGTGGTCAAACTTCAACACCACCACCCTGAACCAGAGGCATAGACAATTTTTCTCAAGACTCGAGTTATTGTAGCAAGAATAAAAACATTAGAAGAGGAAAAAGTAGCCCAATGAAAGGATGCCTGAACTTTTTCATATCACCTCACATGCAGGCAAAAGAAAGTGATATTTAATCCTTTTTCATTTAATACAAAACAGACTATAAGGGCATTGAATCTTTATAGAATATAACATACATCCACAATCAAATCCCAGAATGGGTTTGAAGAGATGTATAGAGATGTGACACATTTGGAATATCTTTAATTTTGGTCTTTGATTCATATGAAGCGGTCAAGCAGTGCTCGTAAATCATCAAAAACTTCGGTTAAATATTGCTTCTGCAGGGAAATCTAAAGATGGAAATTTTTTAGTGGTAATAATAAAAAAACAATGGAAACTCATCATTTTCAAGAATCATCCCACAAGCAGCAATACTGATTCCTATGGCATGGCTCCTATTAAAAAATCCAGAGAATAAATGAGTTAGATTGCTTGTTTTTCTACAGGATCACTGTAAAATTGCTCCAGCAAATCAAGGTTTCTCTCAATCTTATCATTCCAGGGTACGTGCCAGATACTCCAAGCTTTTTACTGTATCTGTCAGCTTCACTGCACTTTCATCTCCCAATGAGTCAATAATCACTATCTACTATGTGAAGATGCACTTGTAGAACTACTTCTTCTAACTGGAGTTGAGAAGCAAAGAGTAGCTATAGATGCTGATCTTTATTAAAAGTAATATTACACAGGTAGTTTTTTCTATGTTGATATGCCACTCATTATATATAACTCCAGCTACAATGCTAAAACTCCAGTACTACTATCAAATCTCATTGAGGACCACCATTTTACACTGATCTCCAATTGCAATGATGACTATATAAACATTCCAATTCTTGATACAGCACATTTGGAAATCCCTGGTACAAAGGCCCAAGGTACAGAGATGTCCAGCAGAGAGGAACTAATCATTCATCTAATCTATCTGAAACTCCCTACTAGCATGTTTATCAGCCCATTCAATAAGTAATGTTTCAGGAAGTCTAAGAGAAACAACTCAGGAATTTAATCCCAACATCCTCAAGAAGTTGCAGACAAGGAAAGGGTTTAACTTGAAGACATCATTATACAGCCTGAGTTGATTATGCACCCAACAACACCAAGCTTGCTATTTTCTGGTGATCTCCCATCCAAATCCTAAGCAGGTCTATGAGTGATTAGGTTCTACAACTTCCTATTTATTGTCTCGCCCTGGGTTTCTCGGAACTGGGTTTCAGGCAACTATGTATTCACATATACATAGTATGTATACATACATGTGCCATATATTTATGAGTACATTGGGGTCTCGGATTAGTTTCAATTAAAGCTGGCAACCTAAAGCAGGGGTCGCCAACCTTTTGGACCTCAGACACCGCCAAACTCATAATTTTAAATCCTGGGGGGGGGGGGGGGGGAGGGAGGGAGGAGGAGGAGAGAGAGAGGGAGAAATCTAATCTAACCTCTGTCCCTCCCTCCCTCTCTCTCTCTCTCTCTCTCTCTCACACACACACACACACACACACACAGAGGCAGGGGTGGGATTCAAATTTCTTAACCGGTTCTTGGGCGTGGCCTAATTTGTGGGTGTGACTTGGTCATGTGACTGGCTAGGCATGGCTTGTATGTAAATATTATAAATATTTATATAAATATTTAATTTCTTATAAAAAAGAGCAACTTTTACCAAAATCAGGCAAAGCAGGCAGGCAGATTGAGTTGCTCACAGAATCACAGATTCACTTAGAGAGATCCGTGTTTCTGCCATCGGCTATCTGAGTCTGCAACTGAATAATAGAACCTTCAGTCCTAAGGGAGGTTCGGCTCTGCTTAAAAGCAGAGCTGAAGATCTAAAGAATAGCTAGAAAGCAAGAAACCCAATGATTTCCTGCTTTCTAGCTAATCTAAATCTCCAGGCACAGCAGAACAGCTGATGGTCAGAAAAAGGAAAAATAGCAACTTAGCAGGCAAGTTTGCCAGGTAAGGAGTAAGTGGGCAGGGAGGGTTCCCACAGGCCTTACCACCAGTGGGCCACAGCCTACTGGTTAGTGACCGCTGACCTAAACTGATAAGATTGAGGAGAAAGGCATTGCACAACTCTATCACGTTATATAACTATGTTTACCTTCTATTTAGATAAACAGGGTAAAACTAGTGCCATAAATGTAATCAATAAGGGAGAAGTCTATCTTTGAACATTCAATAATGTGTCTGCAATACACTTCTGTATCTTGTAAAACCATCCAGTTCTGCTATCTCACTGGTGTCCAAATTTCTGGGAATGATATCATCTTTTGAAACATCTTTGCAATATTATCTGTATGGACTATACAGAAGTTGCTAAGTGTAAATATTTCCTGCTATTAAAATATTCAAATTACATTTAAATATGAGAAATGAAATACTAAAAATTTAAAGAGTCACACTACTACTACGAGTATAGATTTAGAATTCATAACAAATGCGCTGTTTGCACTTGATGACAATAGTAATAAAATATAAAGCAATGGACTATGACTTATGATCAAGCCAATTATGAAAAAACAGAGCAAACCCACTACAGACTACTTTTCCTTGGATTATTTTGCCAAGTTCTACACTTAAGTACAGGAAGTCCTTGACTTACAACAGTTCGTTCAGTGACTGTTCAAAATACAGCACTGAAAAAGTGACTTACAACCAACCATTTTTCACATTTATGACTATTGCAGCATCCTCTTGGTCATGTGTTCAAAATTCAGGTGCTTGGTAACTGACTCATATTTAGGATGGTTGCAGTGTCCTGGAGGCATGTGATCACCTTTTGTGACCCAAGCAAAATCAATGGCGAAGCCAGATTCACTTAACAACCGTGATACTAATTTAACAATGCAATTGTTTGTTGCATTGTTAAATACTAATTACTAAGTATTAGTAATTAATTAATTGCATTGTTAAATACTAATTACTAAGTCTTGTTAATTTAACTTAACAAATGTGACAAGAAAGGTTGTAAAATGGGGCAAAGCCCACTTACCAAATATCTCGCTTAGCAAAAGAAATTTTGGGCTCAATTGTGCTCATAAATTGAGGACTATCTGACCAGTTGGAATTTTCAGAGAATATTTTTTTCAGGACTGTAAGTATAGGAAGTCCTTCACCTACAACCATTATTTTAGATTATTCAAAGTTACAATGGAACGTAAAAAAGTGACTTATGACCATTGCAGTATCTCTGTGATCACTTGATCAACATTCAGACTCTTGGCAATTGGCATTTATTTATGATACTTGCAGTGTTCCAGGTTTATGCTACTAGCTGTTGCAACTTCTGACAAGCTAAGTCAATGGGGAAGCCAGATTTGACTTCCTAATAACTGTTGCAATAAAGGTTGTAAAATGGGGGAAAACTCACTTAACTGTCTTGCTTAGCAATAGAAATTTTGGAGTCAATTGTGATGGTAAGTTGAGGACTACCCGTACTCTAATTGTTACTCTGCATTTGATTAGCCAATGGAAAATTACTTTGCATTGGAAAAAATTTTTGGATGCAGAGCTTTGAATGCTTGATATAGAGAAGAGCTATAAAACTGTAATCCAGAGTATGATAAAGGGAACATTGTTATTCAGATAGTTAAAGTACTGACAGTTTGTTGTAGCCAAGTCAAGTTGGGATGAACATATGGATTATTTCCCTCCCATGGTTTTTTAAATTATGTTGCATTGATTTTAATGAGTAAATCGTATATGCTAGCCTAACTTTGATGTCAAAAATGGAGATAACAGGAGTACTTTGAACCTTATAAATAAGCAGAACACATATGCACTAATATGGGCTGTTGGACTAGACATAAACCTGTAAGCTTTTTATAAATATGTCAGAAGCTCAGACCTAATTTCTCTAGCATCTATTTTGACAATTTCTCCTTTCTTAATGAACAATAATTTTAAAATATGGAAGAATGCAAAGAAAGCAAAGAAGTTAACATATCAAACAGAAATATATATATATACATTTGTGTGTGTGTGTGTGTGTATATATATATATATATATATATATGCTTTCTTAAGCTGAATACTTGGAATACTGAATACTATACACACACACATGGGGGGGGGGGGATTATTAGAAATACATTGCTTTAAAATAAATATCCTATGATAACATAGGAGAAAAAAAATAGATGACTGAGTATGCCAAGGTAGAACAGAGCCAAATTGCTCAGCCTTACATCCTATGGTAGATAGTATGCTATTTAATGCTATCGTTGACTGGGACCATAGTTATGCAATCGAACCGTTTTACAATTCTGTCCACTGATTTCAAAAGTAAAATTTCCCCAAACATGTGAAATACGCCCATTTAATCTTTATGAATTAATCTGCGGAAGCCGATGCTTCTTAAAAAGTAACGGAAATGTCATTCTGGCATAATCGAGATTATTATTAAAACTTGCACATCGAACGTTGCCATCATTACACCGAATCATTTTGTGAAAAAATAAAGAGGGAACCAACGGAACCGCAAACTCTTTTTTTGGGGGGAAGGGATTATTTTTTTATCTCCTACAGGTTAAAAGCGATCACCCGGATGGATCCGCGACAGATAGGGAGGCCGTGGAAGCCCTACTTTTCCCCACAGTGATTGTAGAGCTTAATAGGCCGCCGTGTTTTTGTGCCGCGGCGTTGCAGCTTCTCTTTCCTCAAGGGAGAGAGAGCCGGAGGAATGGGGAATAAACAATACGGGAGTCTTAGAGGAGAGAAGACTCCTCCTTCGGCTCATTGTCTCCCAGCGCTTGGGAGCCTCGTCAGGAAGAGGGAAGAGGCGGAGCGGGGAGGAAGGGGGGGGGGAGAGAGAGAAAAGGCGCATTCTAGGTACGATGCCGCGCCCCTGTCGTGAGATCCTCCGGGCGCTAAGCACAGCCGGCGTGCAGCCATGCCAAACGCCAGGCGGGAAAGTCGCGCGGGGCCGCTGGTGAGCGCCACAGTCAACAATGGCGCCGGCTTCCCCCCCCCCCCACCCGCCCCTTGCGCTGAGAGGCCCGCACCAGCCAGCCACGCTCTGCCCCTCGAAACTGCAGGCCTCTCTCCTCCCCCCCCGTGCCATTTCTGGCTTGGAACGTCCCCGTGGAAAGCCGGCCGCGCACAATTTTCTACCTGGTTAAATTCCTCTCCTACATCGGCATAAATGTCTATGTGATCCACGCCGTCCGCCATATTCCACGGCTGCTGCTTCTCCTCCGCCAGCCCCTCCTGCCTCTGCAGCTGCCGCAGCCAGCCACCGCCGAGGAGGAGGAGGAGGAGGGCGAGTTAACGCTGGGCGACGTCACTTCCGGGAACTAACAAGGGAACATCCGGCGGGTAAAAGTGCGGGCGCTCTGGAGGGCCGCACGTGTGGCCACGCCCACGGAGCGACGGAGGAGGCGACTCACCTTGTCCAAACGTCTATGAAGGTTCTCAATCATTCAGGTCTTTGGTTGTCCAAAAGGGGCTTTTCCAAAAGACAGACAGTTCTTCAGAGCTGGAGAAACTTCTTGGATGAGAAGCGAAACGTGTTCAAGGAAAACAAACAAGAAAGTCCAGTTGCCTTTTGGAAAAGCACCTTTGGGACACTTTTCTTATCCGTTTTTCTGGCCAGTTCCACGCGGAACGAGCTGACAGCAAAGCGAACGTTATATTTTTGCAGTGGCAGATCAGACCGTTGCCATTACGGTAAAGTCCCATTGCCTTAGGTCAGGGGTCTCCAACCTTGGCAACTTTAAGCCTGGTGGACTTCAACTCCCCAGCAAGCTGGCTGGGGAATTCTGGGAGTTGAAGTCCGCCAGGCTTAAAGTTGCCAAGGTTGGAGACCCCTGCCTTAGGTGATCCTTAAGTTGCGCTGCAAAATCAAAATATCACCTACCAACAGCAGAGGTTTCGAAGTTGCCTGCTTGTGCTCCGGATCCATAGATGAGGAGAGGACGAGTCTAGTTTCTCAAAGCTGGCAACTTTAAGATTTGTGGGCTTCCACCCCAGAATTCCCTAACTACTCATCTTGCTGGCTGGGGAATGACAGTTGAAGATCAAGCATCATAAAGTTGCCAAGGTTAAGCAGCCCATTTAACTGGCAGCCACTTTCCAAGTCCTTCCGACTTGATCTTCTTTCTAAAAGTCCTTGCTAGTACCTGCAATTTTCTTAGGCTACAATGTATTTTCAGGTTACTCACCTCTTGCTTTCAAGATTGCGTGGAGTATTCCTAAATCTTAGGGCAAAGCAGAAGCAATGTTGGAATAATAAACAGCACCCGATACATTAGCTCCTGGTCCAGGCATCTCTCTTGCAGCTTTTCTTTATCTGGAATTGGAGACAGCAATAAGGATTTGAGATTAGATTCTTGTAATGATTCCCTTAGGAAATGAACTCTTGTCTGTTCTTTAAATGTTCTTTAAATGTTTTTGCTTTTGCTGGTATTATTAGTGGATAAGTAGAAAGAGCCAAGGGGGGAAAATAGTAATAATAAGCAACATTCAAAGAAATATAGTGTGGTCTTTCTTTGAGGTAGGGTACATTGTATTTCACATCAAGTTTTAGCCTCATAATAACATTAAATATATATGCTACTTGACTCCCAGTGATTCCGGGCAGTTTACAATTGGTAAAACATTTCTCTATTCTTGTTCCACTGATCCACACATACAGATACCCACACATATACATACGTATGGGGGAGGGGTATTAGGACTTCCAAAAAGAGCCAGTTAGGTCGGGTGATTCAGATGTTCACCTAGGAACCAGGAGACTGAGTGCTAGGTTTCCGCTAGGTATAAAAGCCAGTTGGGTGATTTAAGGCCAGTCATCCCAACCCACCTCACAGGATTGTTGTGGGGACGAAATAGGAGACATGAGAAATTACGTGAATTGTCTTGAGTTGACCAAATAATTTTTTTTTAAAGTTGGGATTAAAAACATAATAGTGTGTGCCACAAAAAGCTGGATGCATTGGAAGTTTCTACATACCTGCTGCCATCTAATGGTTGTTTAAAATGCAGCTCAGTTAGCCCTAAGCTAGTAACATTGCATCTCATACAGTACAAGACTTCAGACACAGGTGACTCTGTCACTGCCCTCAACTTTAGTAGGCATTGGCAGTTAGGCTGGACAGTCCTGCAGTCAAGCTGGAAGACAGTTTGCTTCCTTCCTCTCTGTTCCTTGGTGATAACTGCTTTTTTTCAGTCCCTGCAGCAACCAGCAATGCCATCTTCACTTGCATCCGTGCATCCGTGCTCTGTTGGTCCTCCATTGCTTGGCCTTGTATACTCAGTGAAGGAGGCAGATGCAGATACTAGATACACTATAAGACATTACAGAAGATCAGCAAGTAATGATCATTATATTGGTGGGCACACCATAGAGAATGGTAATATGTGGAAAGAGCCTTGTTTAGGAGCTACCATTTTTCTGGGCCCAACTGCAGCTGTCGACACTACAACTCCTTTAAATTGCTTTTGATTGACAGACCTGTTAGCACTTCAATTTCCTCTTATGCAACTATAGATAGTTCAGTGGGTTTTTCTACTGCAGTGCTGTCAAACTCCCAGCCTGTAAGCCAGATGCTTCACATGTTGGCCACACCCATGCCTGGTTTAGCGAAAGGGAAAAAAGTCTCGATACGTCACATGTCGATGCAAGTTTGACACCCCTGTTCTACCGCTTGTTACTTCTATAGCTTCTTTTGCCTATTATACTTCACTATCTAATTTAATTGGTTCTTCTCTCTACAAGTGTTTCAATCATTCTAGAATTATTTGTTTCAGTTTTATTTTTCTATCTGCTTTTAGTCTTTTTGTTTTAGATTGTTATGTGATTATTTTTTAAATTCCTACCATGGATGCAGCAAACATTATTTCTGATTTTTTTAAAAAATTCTTGTATTTCTCATTTTCTTTTACATTCTAATCTAATTCATTTAGTTAGTGTATTATTGCATTCATTTGCTTCACTCTGTTGGTTTTGTTGTTTTAAACTTTGCTGGGTATTGACCAAATAAATATTATTGATTGAATTATGTTTTGCCAAATCTTTTGGGCTGAACTAACTTTTCCTATTTTCCTGGATTATACTGAAAGTATATGTTTAATAATCATCTGTCCATATTGTCCACAATGTCCATCCTCCATCATTTTTAATATCATAATTATATATTCTGAAGCCATTAGGAGATTTTTCTCTTTGAAAGTTGGAAATATTTTCCATTTAAAATTTCAAAAAATGTTTTCTTTATCTTCCCATAGCTCCTCAGGTTCACTTTTGCATATATTAAATGTATATAATCTGTTCCTTATTTTGAGTTTCTCATGTGATCTGAATTAAATAGTTCTGGTCCACCCAAACTGATTTATTTATTTTTCAGATGCCCACTTTGGTATGCCTTATTTCTGCTTTTATAGTTTCAACGCTTTCTTGTTTTGTGCTTCTTGCTTTTCATACTGCAATTCACTTTTCTTCTCTTTCACTATCAGTGACCAGAATTCCTTGCAAAATTGGTCTGGTAACATCATCATATGAAAATCTACTTGTGATGTTCTACAATCTGGTTTTGTAATTTGTCTTACCTGATCAGCTCCTTGTGATCTGATTTGGGAATTCCTTCTTTTAATGGTTTGTATATTATTTTTAATTTCCACATTGTTAGACTTTGCATTCAAGAGTGATTTTGGCAGCAAGGTTATTAGGGTTCTACCACCATATAAAGATTATAATCCCCAGAAAAAAAAGACTAATTTAGAGAGATTTAAAAAAAATTAAATTCCACTTATGAAATAGGTGTATTCAGAATTATGAATTGTCTGTCAGATTGTAAAAAGTACAGAAATGTGAAGAAATTAATTTTATAATGCCAAATTGTCATACATTACAACAGATGTCATTGTGGCTACCACATAAGAAGCATGCACAGATGTATCCTGCATCTTCCCCAGATGAAATCAAAGATAGGAAGTTTCCATAAATTTTGTACAGAAACTATTTTTGCTCAGGACAGTATTTGTAGCTCTTTTACCAAATAATCAGGCAATACTTTAGTGATAAATCAAGCATTCAGATTGTCAGCTTGAATTTATTTCCATTGAAAAACTGACAAGATACAAAATTTCTTAGTAACTCAAATGGGACATCAGTTCCTTTTGAAAGAAGGGTAATAACTGGAGGAGGGGAAAATAAGAAAACACAATACAAGGCATGATTCACAGAGGACCACATCTAAAATATATAAATATCCAGTATTACCTATGCTAGGTCACCCTCTTAATGAACAGTATTCTGCTGCTGCTGCTGCTCCTCATAAACAAGGAAGAGCAGAGATCTGGAGATGTCATATAATCAAAAAAACTAATACGAAACTAATTAAAAAAGAGAACATAGGCAGTTGTAAAAAAACAAGATAACTAGCAGGGTGATTGTATTTGCAGACACTTTATTTACAAGTTTATCTACAGGTTTTGTTTTACTGTTTTACTGATACTTGAAAGCCATTTTAATAGAAGCAATTATTTCTAACCATGTATATCACATGATGTAATTTTACTAAAGAAATCTGCTTTTTTGGAACTTATGAATCATTTCCTTAAATTCTTTTTAAATTAAACTATTTCTTTGAGACATTTTTATATCTCTCATCTAAAATATGTTTCTGTTCATAAGTTTAGTCTTAATTTGTTTAGTGTAATTAAATATTAGTCATGTACAGAATGTGTTATGTCTGCTGTTTTAAAAAGATAGGTACTACCTTCCCAATGTACACAAAATGTTGTGTAGAATTACCATAAAAGAGAAAAAACAATGCTTAAAAGACATACAATTATTTAAAGAATTTTTGGTATAAATGGGTTATCTGTTAAAAGGTGAGAGGACAGAGAATAAAACTTTTATTCTTAATGTTCACAAAAAGAAATCATGAATGAGGAGATGAGTCTTTTTTCAGCAGTTGCTTAAAATACATTTTGGCAGGACCATTACTGGTACGTGAATTCTGGGCGCAAAAGCCTAGAAGAACCACAAGGTGGCAGTTTGCAAGTTCAGGCACAAATAACAGGATCAACTCTGATTATCTTAGTAACTATCTAAGTCAGCTGGTAATATCAGCATATTTTTAAGATGTGCATAATCAGGTTAATTTGACAGCGTTCAGCATTAATTGAAAAGCTTTTAGTAAATGTATATATATGGTAGATTTACATCAGTGTCATAGTCAGATACTATGCTTATTGAGATTCAGCATATATTGTTGCAGTGCCATAAATTAGCCTTTTGGATTGGATCTCAATTATTGTTTGTGTA